TTGAACTGAATCTTTATATCGTTATGTTTGGAATGAAGCCATATAAGGTGATATTTGGAATGAAGTTTTATAAAGTGATGTTTAGAATGAAGCCTAATAAATTGATGTTTGGAATGAAGCCCGAAAGGTGATGTTTGGAATGAAGCCTTATAAGATGATGTCTGGAATGAAGCTTTAAACGGAGATGTTTGGAAAGAAGCCTTCTAAGGTGATGTTTGGAATGAACCTTATAATGTGATGCTTGGAATGTAGCTTTATAAGTTGATGTTTGGAATGAAGCTTAATAAGGTGATGTTTGGAATGAAGCATTATAAGGTTATGTTTGGAATGAAGACTTATAAGGTGATGATTGGAATAAAGCCTTATAAGATGATGTTTGTAATGAAGCTTTATAAGGTGATGTCTGTAATGATGCTTTATAAGGTGATGTTTGAAATGAAGCTTTAAAATGTTATGTTTGGAATGAAGCTTTATAAGGTGATGTTTGGAGTGAAGATTCATATTGTGATGTTTGGAATGAAGCCTTATAAGGTGATGTTTGGAATGAAGTCTTATAACGTGATGTTTGGAATGAAGCCTTATAAGGTGATGTTTAGAACGAGGCTTTATAAGGTAATGTTTGGAATGAAGCTTTATAAGGTGATGTTTAGAATAAAGGCTTATAAGTTGATGTTTGGAATGAAGCCTTATAGGTTTATGTTTGGAATGAAGCTTTATAAGGTGGTGTTTAGAATGAAGCCTTATAAGGTGATGTTTGGAATTAAGCCTTATAAGGTGATGTTTGGAATGAAGCTTTATAAGGCGATGTTTGGAATGATGCCTTACAAGGTGATGTTTGGAATGAAGCCTTATAAGGTGATATTTGGCATGAAGCTTTATAAGTCTATGTTTGGAATGACGCCTTATAAGGTGATGTTTGGAATGAAGCTTTATAAGGGTAAATTATATAAACACACGTTATAAATAAATCGTGTTGCGTAATATTATAATATATGTGTGTATAGATTTGGGCGCCCCAAGGCTGTGCAATTCTTAGCTATCTCGTCTCGCTAGATCAATCATGACTGATTTGTGAGTTCGATTCTCACTGGGTGCCCTATGCTTTCGGCATTGTGCTACATCTAAGCTACGCTTGGAAAATCACTATATGTTTGTATAGATATATAAAAATGTTATTAATTATGGCTACTAAGAATATTAAAAATTATTTCATATTATAATATTCCTGTAAGCTATTTTGAAATCTCTTTTGGTTGTACTCGTTGTGTTTTAGCAGATCCTTGGATCTATGTATACATGTAGACATTAATGCGCATTTCGTGCTCAGCAAGTTAGGTTTATTTAAGTGATTTCTTCATATTTATTTAACACAAAATTTTGAATCATTACCCCCAGAATGTGAATTAACCGTCAGATTGTATTTGCAACTGAAGATTACAGCTTCTGCATTAAACTCCGTGTCGTGTTATCGACGTTGTATATTATGTATATTCACTAATATATATATATATATATATATATATATATATATA